GTCAATTTAACATGAAAAAGTAATATTTTAAAAAATTAAATGAAAAAGTCAGTGGGCAATTCATGACCCACTTACCCCTTCCACCCTGAGAAGAAAAAAAAAAGCTCTCAAACTCATCCAGTCTGAAGTGTCAGTGGCTGTTCTTCAGTTTTTCAAAAATACTGTCCCCTAGATAGCAGCAGGAATCATTGAATTTGAAAGAAAGATGATTTTTATTTGAGAAATTAAAGGTTAAAATGGGTGAGTCAGTCGTCAATTGCACACTATTTTTCTCTTTCATTTTTATAATAATGCCTTGTTTCAAAATTATTTTAATCCTGCTGCTGCTCCCCTTTTTTCAAATGCATTTCATTGTAGTGGTTTTGCCCTGTCTAGCTGATTCTTGCAATGCCTACACAGAGTGAAGAAGCGAAGCTAATGATAGGGCACTGTTTTCTCCACATTGAAGTATGGTCACTGACTGTGGATGTGTGGGAAAACTTTGTTCTTCTCAGAGTGGAGGGGGTAATTGGGTCATCAATTTCCTATGCCAACTCTTTTTCTTGTGAAAAAGTCACTAGACTTGTGCACACAGATTCTTAATTTTTGTTTTTTGTTTTTCAATTTGGAATATTTTGTTATGGACATCCAACGTTCGGCAGTATTCCAACTCAGTTCAGCCGAAACTCAGTCAAAAAACTGAAAATCAGCTAGACCAATCACCTCCACAGTGCAAGGTTTAATCATGTGACAGCTGGCCAGCACTTGTTATACAGCCACCACATTAAATATTTAAAATAAATAAATAAGCCTATGAGGGTTAATATGACTCCCCATTAGTGAAATTCTCTGCCTGAAGAGGTGGTTTTATAAGTCTGTACAGTTGTTTAAACAGCAATTGGATTAATACTTGCCAAAACATAATATTCAGGGATATAATTTATAATTTGCAGGGTAATAGCTTCTTGATCCAAGGAGAGATCTGACTGCCATTCTGGGGTCGAGAAGGAATTATTGTTGCAAAATTGGAAAGTGCTTCATACTGGGTTTTTTGCCTTCTTTTGGATCAACAGCAAAAACACATGTAAGAATGGCTGACCTTACATGGTGGGGTTTTAAATATATAATATTGCGTAGGGGATATTGCCTCCCATGCCCCTACCCTTGGCAAGTGGATGGGAGCTGTGAGTAAAATGAATGGCAGCCTAGTGTTCCTCCTGCTCCCTCCTATAGTCAGCATACTTAGTGTATCTAATTACCCAATATACAATACATAGTAAAGATATTGAGAAGACTTAAAGACAGAATCAGAAAACATTTAAACAATATAGCAACAGATAAACAGTCCATAACTCTAAGCAGACATTTTCGACAATAATTATGATGGACAATAAGATAGTTTTTCCTGTCAGAGGATAGAAAATGTTAGGCGACGTTTGAGAGGTGGAGAGTTACTCAACAGGCTTTCCATGAGGAATATGTTTTGAATTTTTACATTACAAATAGCAGGAAAACTTAACGGTTGACTATAATTTCTGATTGTTGAGAGGCATAGCTATGACTACTGACAATGCAACCAACATACTTAGTTTTTATGGTAAGTGTCATGTTTCTAGGTAGAAGTAGAATGTTAGCCACATTAATTGAATAACAAATTTATCACAGACAAAATGTTGGTTAGACTCTGAGTAGCAGATGCTTGCTACATTTTGATTAACTGCACTACAGAAGGACCAATGGCTGCAAGTTTAGGTAGTCTTGATAACGTGTCTGAGAACAACAAAAATGCATAGATTGCTGTGGCTCTACCGACTATATAAGTTTTCCACAGTATGTCAATTACAATATTTATTTTGAATGAAGATTACAACAAAGTATTTATGCCATTTGAAATGAGCAGTGGTGAAAACCTGTGAAGATCACTAACTATTCTTTTATATTGTGGTCTGACGGTTTTTTCCAATTATCTCATGGTGGGGGCTACAATTTAACAGAAGACGAAATACACCATAATGGCGGTTTGGCGAGTAACTGCAGGAGTGTAAGGTAATATATCCCTGAAGAAGGTGGTACCTTTTTATGTTTTTCATATTTATATACAGAGATACAATCCCTGTATACACACAATTTAGATGGTACCATTTCAGTCAAGTCATTTGTCTATGTTGTAGCTGTTCTCTCTTCAACAGAAATAATATATGAAGTAGAAAAAAAAATAGATTTGGAGATTCATTTAGGATTGAACTGCAATTTTATTAAAAGTGGGTAGATCAGGTGACTGGAATAATCACTCGGCAGAATCTTGGGTGAAGCAACTCAAGCAAGTCCAGAAAGTTCAGTTTGGTTCTTGATTCAGAGTGATGTACTTGAAATGAAAAAGAGTCGGTTTTATTTATTCATTTTTTATGGTGGGGACTATTGATAGCTTTGTTTTTCATGATGGACAATTGCTCTTTAAAATCAAGTGGATTGGATCTTTTGTCTAATCAAGATGTAGCAAAAAAAGGATGATTGATGGTTAGGGGACAGCTAATAAATGTTGATTTTATTCACAGATCAAGTGAAAACTGGCCCGCAAAGGGCAAAATAGAGGGAGCAATAAAACAGCTGTACTATCATGCAGTATTCTTCTAGACTATTTGACTTCAGTTATTGAGGAAAAAAAACTAACCGTGATCCTATGTGTTTTACACTTGCTGTGCCTATGTTGGCGTTAAAAAGTGCCTGGAACATTGCTGCGAATGTGTTGGCACTATATAAATAATAACATAATAATAACAACATAATAACATAATAATAGTGTGAGACTAACTTTAATTGTATAATGTATCCAGCAGCTAGTATTGCCAGGACCACCAGAGAAAACTTTGAGCAGCAGATAGATTGGCATTTGGGCTGGCAGGTATTTTGGCATTCATCCCAGTGCAAGACTGTTTTACCAATATACATGTGCTAAACTTTTTTTTCTTGCTCAGCTTCTTTTTTTTTTTTTGCTTTTTGACCAACATAATTAATTATGTAATTATTTTTATAATTTTTTTTTAAATTTTGTTTACTATAGGTATTTGTTACACTTTTTACAACTCAAGTAAGTTCATTTTTAGATGGTGAGATTTCCTTATTTATTTATTTTTTCAGTAAGCATAGTTTACATGCTTCTCTCTTATAGTTGTGTGCTGAGGACTTTCTTTTTAGACATTAAACATTGATAAAAGAAGAGAAACTACACATGTTAACTATGCAAAGAATGTCTTTATAATGAACACTCGCAAACATATATAGTACAAACAATAGTTGCAAACAATATTTACCATATTGTAATTTTTAGCAGTCATTATAAATCATCCACTATGCTTATAGTAGATCTGATTACAGCTATGCAAACCTCAGCATTAAAGTTTAGCCACATATTGTACGTTAAATCAATAAAAGCGTCAGAGGCTAAATAGCTTCCTATAATCAGAATAATCTAAAGGCAAAAATGCATCACCACATAGACTAAACATAGTCCAAAAGCATATTCAAAAATGGAAAACCCAACAAAATAATGTAGAAGTATTGCCTTAATTTTTAGGAAATGTAGTACGATTATGAGCAATTGTACTATTTTTGCAAAAAAATAAAAAAAGGAAGACTAAAGAATGACAAAATTGATTTTACAAGAGAAGAGTCAGTTCCCATAAATCATATCAGATATCTCATATTGCAAAATAGTTGGGGCACTGTTATCTAATTTAATATCTGACTTAAGACAACAAAACGGTCTATTTTAGATAGCATAAAACACATTAGGCACATTTATTGTATTATATTGTAATATAGTTTTTTTTCTTGGAAAAACTATTCCAATATTAATAGCTAGATGTTTGAGGTTTCAGTAGTGAACTTTTTGAGATACATTTAAATTAAAGTAGTGAAATAAAATAGTAAGTACAAATGTAAAATAATAAGACATGCTCTAAAACCTGAACTTTAACAAAAGTTTAACTTTTAAAACTGTTATAAGGAAAATAAGTAATTCTAGTGGTGTTTAATAAGATTTTTAGATGGTTATGCAGAAAACAGCGTTTTGACAAATATACTTTGCTTCTATGTTCCCACTGAACATTATGACCTGCACAATGAATTAAATGGTGGTATTTATCAATAGAGTTGAGCAGACACCTGGACGTTCGGGTTCGCCGGGTTCTGCCAAACTTCGGCAAAAAGTTCGAGTTCGTACTCGAACTTGACCCGAACTTGACCTCGAACCTGAACCCCATTGAAGTCAATGGGGACCCAAACTTTTGGGCACTAAAATGGCTCTAAAAAAGTCCTGGAAATGGCTAGAGGTCTGCAAAAGGAAGTAAAATGGGGGTAAGAGTAAGGCAAGTGCCCTGCAAACAATTGGGGTAGCCCCCAAAATATTGGGACATATAAAAAAAGAAAACAAAGAATAAGTGCACTTGAGTATAACAATGGCTTGGTGAGGCCGGTATAAATGTTTATTTTGCATAAGGTACAGACAAGTCTGGTGGGATCCATGCCTGGTTCATTTTAATAAACATGAGCTTGTGCACGTTGGCTGTGGACAGGCGGCTGCGCTTGTCTGTGATAACACCCCCTGCCGTGCTAAACATGATGTAACAGTAGTATTTAAGGGTTTTATTGGACTGTTTTATTGGACTGCAAGAAATGCACAGCAGGCTGCAAATGTTCTATTTAGCACAAAAAAGTGTGATTTTTTTTAAACCAACAATGTAACAGTAGTATTTAAGGGTTTTTTGGGACTGCAAGAAATGCACCGCAGGCCGCAAATGTTCTTTTTAGGACAAAAAAGTGTGATTTTTTTTTTTCAAACAAAGGGCAATGTTTATTTGATTACATTTTACAATAAATGAGTATTAATGCGCAAAAGCTTACAAATAAACCTAATTTGTTTTCTAGAAAACAGTAAAGCTTACAAATAAACCTCATTTGTTTTACATAGAAAACAGTAAATACAAAACATTAAATTTTACAACAAAAACAAAACATAATGCTTAAGAGACAATAAAAGGAACATTACAAGCACAATAAGCATATAGTGCCCTTGCAACATCCCACAATAAGTAGACACACCACTTAAAGTTTCAGTAGCCTGCTACGCCTGGCTGCACTTATTGACATAGACCACTCAGCTGATCCTCTCAGCCAACGACTGCAGCCCTGAACGCTGGAGCTTAGCTCAGTAGAGCTTACTGGAAGCCTTGCAGGAGCTTTTTGTAGCAGGAGTGTTGGCAGCAAGTGGAACCCAGGACACCATAGCCACTACAGTAGCTTAGTGGAGCTAACTGGAAACTTTAGAGGAGCTTTTTACAGCAGAGGAGTGTTGGCAGCAACACTATAGCCACTAAAGTAGCTTAGTGGAGCTAACTGGAAACCTTAGAGGAGCTTTTTACAGCAGAGGAGTGTTGGCAGCAACACTATAGCCACTACAGTAGCTTAGTGGAACTAACTGGAAACCTTAGAGGAGCTTTTTACAACAGATGAGTGTTGGCAGCAAGTGGAACCCAGGACACCATAACCACCACAACAGTTGCAGTGGCCATGGTGCCTGGAGAGTTCTTTAACTATGCAAGAGTTTTATCAACACAAGGTAACTACTCTGACACTTTTATGGGGATTATCCTATTTGCAGTGAAGCTGTATCACTGCCAATATACCACAGAATTACCATTTTGGAAACACACCTCTACATGTTTCAATATCCCCAAACATGGTTAAAAGAGAAGCTATAGATGCAATCCTGGTTACTATACGTCTTCTCTATGGATTTACAGCTAGAAGAAAATCATTGCACTAGAATTACAGTTCTCAACTTTAATAATTAATAAAGTTATTATTGAAAACATTTTTTTTTTTGGTATTGGTGTATTAAACAAAAAAATCCACATAGAGGTTTATAATATTTTCTCCAAAATCCCTGAAGATATTACAAATGCATTCTGTCCGCCCCTCAGTACAGACTGCATAAGTGGTGATGTAATTTACTTAATGGCATAGGTCTCTTTGCTAGGCACACGGGTATATACTCCATTTTCAAAAGGCTACAGATTGTTTCACTTGCAATTAGAGAATGCACTACTAAGTGTTTCAAGTATTCCAAAAACAGTTATCGAAAGCTTGGAATAGTAATTTTAACAGGGACTTCCATAGAGGAGGAAACACCACCAAGACATTACAGTGTAATGACCATGTTTTAAAAGGTTACACGTTCAGATGAGTCTGCAATCCTATAAAGAACATATTCTTCATTAGCATCAAAACTTAACTTTGTCTGAAAAGCTTAAAGCAAGATTTTATTAAAAATAATAACCTTAAAGACATGTGTTTGACAACTTTAATGACAAAATCTTTAATGAACTTTAACTCTATAAACACAGTTAAGTATACACCACAAACATTCATGAATTTTAATGGCATACTACACACATTAGAATAATTTGTTAAAAACACAGATTAAAGAACAGTGCAAAAAAAAAAAGAAAAGAAATAAAAAAGCATCTACCCAAAATCCCCTATCCCGGCAAACAAATATGGGGACTCAGCCACACCATGGCCCACGTAACAGGGCTTAACACAATATGGCCATGGTGTAACTGCATCCCTGAGTCCGCTCGACAAGACAGGAGACCTTAAGCAGCCTTGTAAAATTTAAAACTATTTTTTTATGTGTGCTGTTCCTTTATCTGTATTTTATTTATTCTTTTTTTTATATATATTTTTTGGTCTTTACAGCAGCACCACTAGTTAGAAACACATGTTCCAGGTATGCCCACAATTCTCTAATTTCCCTGTGTAGATAATTTTTTAAAATATTGTTTTAAGAAAAGTGTGTTTCAAGGCACATTTGGATTTAAGCACACTTTGGTAGAGTTTTTGCAGTCTTAAAAAGGTGGACTAGAACATCTTTATCTACAGTACGTTTTACTTTAGTATGTGTGAGCTTGACAATCTGATAGGTGCGCTGACAGTCCTGAAGATAGTCAAACGTATAGAAAAAAGGCAGTTACAAAAAGGTCTTTTCCAACATCGATGTAAACAGATAAAACAGCTAAGGTATTTGACTCAAAACTGTTCACTGTATCCTTTATAGACATGTTGCATCTCTTGCATATAACTGGCATTAACAGGTACTTCTTTGAACAGGAAAAAAGGAATAAATCGCCATTGGAACAGACACTGAAGCTGAACTATGGCAGAGTATTTAAATCGAAAAGTCACTCCCACTAATAGAATCCAATTAAATCAGCTTATACACAAACCATTTTCTTTTATTTTTGGAAACTTAAATGAGAGAATAAGTAAAAATATTTAAAGAAAAAGACCCCAAAATTGTCATACTGCACAACAACATGTAACATTGTAAGCTAATTAATTACAAGCCAGGTATTTAAGACAACATTCACCCAGGAACTGACACCATTTTACATATACAGAGTTTCTAAAGGCTGCTTTTTGGTGTTTGCAAAAATTTTTTCTTAAAGTATGATATGTACAACCCAAAAGGTTTTCACAAGTGCCTGTAGGGGTAAAACTCTACAATACTGCCTTTTATATTTATAAAGGACTTTGTCTAGTCTACGTTTCCTTCGGTGGCTGCGCACATCTTTGAAGAAGAAAAGGTTCTGAGTCAAAGTCTATAAAGCCTGACACAAACCGGAAGATATGGGGATCTTTTGTATTCAAGTAGAGTCAAGTGGAAACACATTGATGAAAATTTCTAATTCAGATAAGCTCTAAAATTTCATCTCTTTTCTAGCAAAAGCTGCCAGCAAATAGATCTATTACAAAGGATGTACTTTGTTTTTGACTAGTAAGCTACACCAAAAGCATAAAAATATATAAACTTGACACAACGACAAATGTATTTATACATTCACTTGTGACGTGGAAAGCTTAATGTTACTATAAATTTAGATTTCTACCCTATATGAAGTGGAGATCATATTAGTTTTGCATGAGCAAGTTACGTGTGCAAATTAAATCCAATCAAATTTTAAATTTTTTTATTTTTATATCATTACATTGTTTCTAATGTTTTTTTTATCCAAAAATATTAAAAATCTAAGCCATAAAAATAATTACTCCAAATCACCACTGACCATAACATTTATAAAATTTCATACCTGGCGGCTTTTTGCAATAGGTACTTCCAAGTCAAATTACACCAATATTGCTTTTAGTAAGCATGCATACAAAATGTGCTTATACTATGTATGCCTAAACAAACAAAAAAATAAAAAAAAATGGTATTGCAAACTGAACACCGGGACTTAAAGGTCACCTACAATTATTGGACAAGATAATCAGAGAACTATTTAAATGTTCCTGCTCTTACATGACTGCATTTTTCAGCACTCATCTGAGACAATCTGCAAATGCACTTTGGTAAATAAGTAAGACCTTTTGGCAATTCCATTTTGACCTAACAATGTCAGCATGAATGAATTATACTGTATTGTTTTATTGAGATGACCAGTCCACCTGTAAACGCACGCTAAACATTTTAAGGCACTTTGCTTTTTCTTATTGATCCTGAAGGGATTATTATTTTTTTAATCTTTTGTTTTTGCTGCATACAAATCAAATAGTGATAACAAAATTAGAGGCACACTTTCTGCACGTGTGAATAAAAAAAAACAACGCACATTACAAGAAAACGAGGATCAAAAACCATTCAAAGTTGGAAAAAATAAATATATATATATGTAGAAAAAAACACGTCCTTTTAAGACACAGTGAAAAGTGCTTTTAAAAATATGTTTTGTTTTCTGGTAAAGGCACTTAACTCTAAAGGCAAAACAATGCTTAACGGGGTAAAAAAAACAAAAAAAAACTAAATCATTTAGCTGCATATGAATATATACTTTTCATACAGCAGATTTGATTGAGAACTGCAGCCTTGTTATTCAGCGTGGCATCAGTTCATATCCATAGATCCTGAGAAGATCACAAAACACTCCACACGATAATGATGATGATTATGAGCACGACTACAGCGATAAGAATTGCCCACATCTTACAGTTCTTCCACCAGTATTTTCTCTTCAGCTTGGCAGCGCTAGTCTCAAACTGTGATGCACCTGCTTGTAGAGCATCTGCTCGATCATCCAACTCAGACAACTTCTGGTCCCTTTCTAGGACCTTATCCACATTAACTTGCATGATGTCCACCACCTCATTAACTTGAGCTTGTGTCTTTTGCAGACGACTGTAGCGGAACGCCAATATAAAATCCACGAATTCCGCTGGTCCAGAACGAATCCACAGTCAAGCGCTGAAAACACCAAGGCAATATCCCCAACCTCCCAATAACCGGACGAGACACAGTTTTGGGAGTCAACTGACAATCCTTTATTCAGCACGACAATTTATACAAGTCCCCATGCAAGGGGTCTCCTGAGTCCCTTCCCAGGGGCACTCCCAGAGGGGACTACATGGGGGACTTACAGTATAACATATTTCTCCCATCAGGCACTGCTGCACGAGAGGGATCATCCTCCCAGAATGCACCGTTAAGGGGATTATCCCCTCGTGCAGCAGAACCGGCAATCCATATAAAAATACATAACTTTTAAAATACACGGTGGATTTACACGAATGGACGTTCGGTAGATAGCTGGGGTCTGGGCGCATCATTCGTGAGATTGCCGCTCAGATCCCAGCCAAATTAACCGAACGCCGCACAGAAAACACATTTCTTACAAAACCCACAAAAGGAACCGATTGCTTTGGGTGAACCTGGTCCTGAAACTCCCGAACGTCTGGGAGGCTCAGCGGTGTTCGTGCCGTCGAATAACTATTGGTAGTAGTATGCGTTCGACGACACGGACCCGCTGACGAACAAGGGATCCAAGATGGCCGACCGCCGCATGGTCGGTAGTCGAACGACGGCCACCCAGGAGAGCCTCTAATAACCGATTGCAACAATGTTGCAATCGGTTAACTAGCGCCACACGCCTCTAAGTGTGTGGGCTATTAGGGGGTATCGCGTTCGGTTCACGAACGGCTTTCTAAAGTGCCGTTCGTGAAACGAAAGAAAATCCCCATACAAAACCGCCAATTGCATTCGGCGGAAACAGTATTACAGGTAACACGGAAAATACATTCACATTTACATAGGTGTATAGCGCATATCTCGCCCGACCTAGTGGCAACCCTTAAAGGCACAGTCTCTAGTTATTGTCCAAGTGGCTAGGTTTGCCACAATGCTCCCCCAGAACCAAGCCGGCATACACAGCCTGATCCCAACGGATCGGCTTGGGGATGTCCGGGGGAGTGCTCACAGATCACTTCTCAAGGTCTGTTTGTCTGGACAACCCGTCGGCATTACCGTTTTGTTTCCCTGGGCGGTAGTGTATTGTAAAGTCAAAGGGCTGCAGCGCCAAACTCCAGCGCAGCAGCCTGGCATTGTCTCCCGCCACACGGTTTAGCCACACCAACGGGTTGTGATCTGTGAGCAAAGAAAAGGGTTGCCCATAGAGATACGGCTGTAACTTTTTCAGGGCCCACACCACGGCCAGGCATTCCTTCTCTATGGCGGCGTAGCTCACTTCTCGGGGTAGCAGCTTCCGACTCAAGTAGGCTACGGGGTGTTCTCCGCCATCGGCTCCGACCTGGCTCAGTACTGCTCCCAATCCAAACATTGAGGCGTCTGTGTGAACAAGAAAACGTTTAGTTGGATCAGGAGCAGCCAGTACAGGGGCATTGGTCAGAGCCGTCTTCAGCTGGTTGAATGCCTGTTCACACTCTGGGGCCCAGACGACCTGCCGGGGCAGGTTTTTCTTCGTCAAATCAGTCAGGGGTTTGGCCAGGGCACTGTAGTTGGGTACAAATTTTCTGTAATACCCTGCGGTACCTAGGAAAGCCAGGACTTGGGTTTTGGTCCTAGGGGTAGGCCACTGGGCTACAGCTTCAATCTTTGCGGGCTCAGGCTTCTGCTGCCCGCTACCAACCCGGTGTCCTAAGTACTGGACCTCTGCCATCCCTATGTGGCATTTGCTGGGTTTCAAGGTAAGCCCTGCCTCTCGAATCCGATCTATTACTGCCCCTATGTGTTGTAGGTGTTCTGCCCAGGTCTGACTGTAGATGGCAATATCGTCCAGATATGCACACGCATAGTCCTGGAACCCGTCCAGTAGCCGATCCACCATCCGCTGGAATGTCGCGGGGGCGTTCTTCATCCCGAATGGCATGACTCGAAATTGGTACAAGCCAAACGGGGTGACAAACGCCGACTTAGGAATGGCGTCCTCGGCTAGTGGAATTTGCCAGTATCCCTTACACAAATCTATGGTAGTGAGATACTGACCCCTGGCCATCCTATCAAGCAGTTCGTCTATCCGAGGCATCGGGTAGGCGTCCGACACAGTTTTGTCGTTCAACCTCCGGTAGTCCACACAGAACCGGGTGGTACCATCTTTCTTGGGAACCAGGACTACCGGCGATGCCCAGGGGCTATCTGAGTGTTCAATAACCCCCAACTGCAACATCTCTTCAATTTCCTTCCTCATATGTTCCCGCACGGATTCAGGAATCCGATATGGAGTCTGTCGCATGGGGAGCTGTCCCGGGGTTTCTACTCGGTGGGTGGCTAGTGGAGTGTACCCAGGTAGATTAGAAAAGGTAGCGCTCTTTGCTGCTATCAGTTCTTGTACCTGAATACGCTCTTGAGGACTTAGCCGCTCCCCCAGTTGAACCCCCTGGGAGGGTTCCTTCTGCTCCTCCTGCTCTAACAGATCGGGAAGGGGCAGGTTCTCCTGATCTTCGGAGGCGGGCGTGCAAATAGCTGCCACGTCCTCCGTCCGCTCGTGGTAGGGTTTGAGCATGTTCACATGGAGCATGCGTCTCTTCCCTACTCCGGAGCATGGGCCGATCACATAGGTGGTATCGCATCTCTGCTCTACCACCTGGTATGGGCCCTGCCAGACGGCCTGTAGTTTATCGGTGCGGACTGGTTTAAGGATTAGCACCTTCTGCCCCACTTGAAAACTACGGTCTCTGGCCCCTCTGTCATACCAACGACGCTGTCGTTGTTGGGCGGCCTGGAGGTTGGTGCGCACCGCCTGGGTCAATTCCTCCAGGCGATCCCGGAACGCCAGCACGTATGGTACAATAGGGGTCCCATCTGCACTACTCTCTCCCTCCCAATGCTCTCTAATGAGATCCAACGGCCCCCGGACCCTTCTCCCAAACAATAGTTCAAAGGGGGAAAAACCCGTAGACTCTTGGGGCACCTCTCTGTATGCGAACAACAGATGGGGAAGGAATCGTTCCCAGTCCTTATGGGTCTCTCCGAATGTTCGAAGCATCTGTTTTAGGGTACCGTTGAATCTCTCACATAATCCATTGGATTGCGGGTGGTACGCGGAGTTAATGATCGGCTTTATGCCACATATCCTCCATAACTGCTGAGTAACCTCAGCCGTGAATTGGGTCCCCCTATCTGAGACCATTTCCTGTGGGAACCCTACTCGGGAGAAGATTTTCATCAAGGCTTCGGCTACGGTCTCCGCGTGGATATTAGTTAGGGCAATCGCCTCGGGGTACCGGGTGGCGTAATCCACCACGGTCAGGATATACCGTTTCCCAGAGGGGCTGGGCTTTGGTAGTGGTCCTACTATATCTACTGCTACCCGGCTGAACGGTTCCTCAATTATGGGGAGGGGACATAGTTTTGCCTTATGGCGATCCCCCCTTTTGCCTACCCTCTGGCACACATCACAGGAGGTACAATATTGCCTTACGTCTTTGGAAATCCCGGGCCAAAAGAATGCGTGCGTTAAGCGATACCGGGTCCGGGTCATCCCTAGATGGCCGGACAGAGGGATGTCATGGGCGATCCTCAGTAACTCCTGCCTATATTTCTGTGGTACTACTAGCTGCTTGGTTTGGAGCGTCACCGAGCTGCCTATGGCCCGTTCCGCCACCCGGTACAGTAACTTCTTTTCCCATACGTACCGTTCTCCCTCCCGCCCCACCTGGTCCGTGTCTACCCTATCTCGGTACACCTGCAGTGTGGGGTCTGTCTGAACCTCAGCTTCAAATGTGGTCGGGGTGTCCCAAGTCATGTCGGTCAAGGGGGGGTCATGGTGTCTTACCTGAGCCTCAGAGTGTGCGGGGAATGCCGTGGTGCGAGCCTGTTGCCGGGTGGTTACCGGATGCGCCTCTTGGGAAGGGGCCTGGGGAAGGAACGCAGAAGTCATCGGGCCCAAGTCATTCCCCAAAACAACATCGGCCGGTAGTTTCTTCATTATGGCCACCTCTACAACCCCCTCCCCAGCACCCCAGTTCAAATGCACTTTGGCCGTGGGTAACCTGTACATAGCTCCCCCTGCTACCCGGACTGCCACTGATCCGCCAGTGTGGGCCGTATCTGGGATTAAATGAGGGGCCACTAAGGTCAAGGTGGCTCCCGAGTCCCGCAGCCCCTGCACTTCTTTCCCTCCCACAAATACAACTTGGCGGTGATGCTGCCGGTTGTCCGTGGCTTGCACAGACATCACCTCGTACAGAACCCCCAATGGTTCTTCGGTTGATAGACTTGTCAGCTCCGAGTGGTCAGGTTCGGTGTGGTAGAAATGGGCCACTGCCCTTGGCGCGGAGTTTTGCCGTACTTGGTTCCACGCCTGCCTGCTCCGACTCTGGGTGCACTCCCGGGACATATGCCCCCACTGCCGGCAGGTATGGCATTGTATGTTGGCCCTGCCATTGTAGCGTGATGGCGGTGGGGGGTTTCCTGATGGTGGCCGGAATGGAGTAGCGTTGGCGGGTGTGGAGATGGTTGGGTGGTGTGGTACAGCTGGTCTCAGGGGAGCCCTGTTGGGAAGCCCATGATGCCTTCGGGCGTCAAAATGCTGATCCGCCAACCGGGCGGCTTCGGTTAGGGTGAGGGGTTTCCTGTCCCTTACCCATTCTTGTGCCTCAGGTGACAGTCCGTTAAAAAATTGCTCCAGCAAGATGAGCTGGCGCAGTTCCTCCATTGTGGTAGCTTGGCTCGCCTGAATCCATCCTTGCGACGCTTGGTCGAGCTTATGTGCCCACTCAGCGTGGGAATCTTTCTCGGGCTTCCTCAATCCTCGAAATTTACGCCGGTACGCCTCCGGGGTTATGGCATACCTCTCCAGAATTGCCCTCTTAACTTTAAAATAGTCCTTGCTATCTTCTCTGGGCACAGCGCGATACGCCTCGGCTGCTCG